CTTTATTCTGTTTAAACACATAACCGATTAGATCATTAAATTCACGTATGGCCTATTAGCTTAGATGGTTAGAACGTCAAACTTATCAACTTTGCCATTTGAGACCTGGCGAGCGACCGTGTTCAAATCCTGGCGGGGCCAGAATTTTTGTTTTTTTTTTTTGTTTTAGAAAATATGAAAATTGAATAAATACGATTATTGTTGATTATTTTTTTAAATACATTTTAATTATTATAATAATAACCTGGTTTTACATTTTTTGATGAAATTATTTTGTAGTCGTAAGAAAAATATTGTACATCACTTGTGTGAAAAGTGATTTTCCACACTCGTAATGTAATATACTATTTCAGGTCATTTATTTAAAATTAATTTAAAAGGGAAGCTGTCAAAAATGTTTTATCGGCTTAAATTTAAAATTTCAAACTAAAAAGGATATATTCATCGTGACTCTATTCCAGTCAATGATAAGCATGTTTTAGATTTTTTTTTAATTTTTATTAAATTTGTGAGATTTAACATGAACTTTTTGGGACACACTTTTTATGTTAGATTTTATGTACAACTGCTAGGTAAAGTTTTAAATATAAACAAAAAAGTTTGACCAAATAATACAGTACCTTAAATTAATTAGAGTTGATAAATGATAGATTTAGCTTGGCGACGATGATACAAAGTTTCACCTCAGTAGAGGTCCCTTTCTTCATAAAAAAAAACTATCCAACTGAAAGTAATCGTGATAATTTTCGTTGAGTCAGATTTTTCTGACGTTACTTTTGGAGAAAAGAGTAACAGATAGCACCTTTTAAGCATTTTAAGCGTTTTTAAGTGTTTTAAGCGTTTTTAAGCGTTTTTAAGCATTTTTAAGCGTTTTTAAGCGTTTTAAGCGTGTTAAGGCGTTGTCAAAGAAAAATAAAACAAATGAACTTATATATTTTTAGAAGATATGCTTCAAAATGCTCATTTGATCCAAATTCAAATTTCTCGTCTCGCGGCATCAGTAACTTCATCTATAATACAACATTATGGTATTTAATTTTCCATAATAAAATTCAAACCAACCGATTTAATCTAAATTAAGTTTTCTTGGATACATTTTTTTTTACTTTAGTATAGACTATATTAAAATATGTTTTTGAAAGTAAATTAAACAGTTCTGTGGAGTTTTGGACGACTTTAATAAAGTGACGCCACTGTTTCGGGCCTAACAGAGAAAAGCGACATGTCTCTTCTCTTTTTCCACCCCGAGCACACGCTGATGGAAAACCTCCTTGCTCCCAGGTTGATTAAAACAGATTGAATGTTTCAACTTTATGCGGTTACTTTATTATAGTTTCAGATACTTACTCCGTAACTTTTCTTCGTCTTTTCTCGGTTTCTCGTTAACTTTGTTAGTTGATGGGTATGTGCAGTAGCCCCGAGAAATTATTTTATTAATCTTGATCCGCGATTCCATCAATGGATTTTAATTAGTATTTAGCTTCTTAATTAAACTAGATAAATAATTATATTATACACAGAGAGAAAAGTGTAGTTTTACTGTTAAATTTCTCTTTTACCTTTTTTTATACCTATTATATATTAAACATTTTTATGTATTATGTTATTTTAGTTAACTGGGATTAAAGTTTGTATTTCTGAAGGTTAGAGATCGGCACGATTTTTCAATTATTTAAGATTATATTTTAGTAAATTATGTTTTATTATATTGTGCATTCAATTTATAATAAAAATAGCTTTCAAATGATGTATTTCTTGACCATATTAAAAAAAATAGCTGGTTGCTGCCGGACCTCAGAGGGTTGGATTTCTGGGTATGAATTTTATATGACAATTCGTCCCCTTTCTAATAAAAGTTGATGTATTTTTTTTTATTTACCTAAACGTTATTTTAAAATGAAAGCACTATATGTCTATATGTAGGAAAGCTGTTGTTCTTAAAAGGACTGTGAAGTTTACATGAGAAGAAGGCGTAAATGGCAATCTAGAGATCCAGCTGCAAAGAATTAACTCTTAAAATCAAAAAGTTTTATTCCTAATTTAAACACAGTTTTTTCAATTTAACAAACCCTCATACTAATTTTTAGCATGGGCGTTCTTAAAAAAATTCTTAAGAAAAATAAAGCTGTAGATACTTTAAAATCAAGAAGTTTAATTCTTAATATAAATACGGTACTTTTTAATTTAAGAACCGTCATACTTATTTTAAGCAAGTTCTTAAAAAAATAATCCGAAACGAAAGACGGTTATGCATACTTAAAGGTACCATTTCGGTAGGCGCGACAGGAGAGAAGAGACCACAGAGGCGACCCCAAGGACGACAGATGCATTAATGTTACGTTTCATATATTTGGGAAGCATAGAGACAGGTCACACGACACCCACAGACAACCATTCGAGTCAACGATCAGCGTTGCCAGACCTTCTGTTTTTAAGTAGATCCACTGTTTTTGTCTCTGTTCTCCTGTTTTAGGCATGAAATCTACTGTTTTCGCCAACTTAACAAATTTTGTTCTTAATTTAATAAGTTAGCCTCATTCTCCAGCAAATGGTCAAAGAATATTTTCTCTAGTATATTTTCTGAAGTAAAATCAGTGTAATAAGCATCCACTACTGTAGGTTGGCTCCATATCATATAATCATTAGGTTTTTATTTAAAATGCAACAAAGAATTAATAGAGCATCATAAAAAGAACATGCATGCCAAACACAACGTATTTGAGTTATCTGATTCAGACTGATCTAAAAGAAATACCTATTATTTTTCATTGGTTTCTTTCCGTACGTTAAGTATATATTAAAAATGTTATTATTTGTTTTTATTCTTTGTTTACTTTCTAATTTGTCTAGAAATATGTTTATTTTTCGTTTCTTATATACTTTTTTTTATTTAATACACTGCAGATTATAATTATTTCCCCCTTTTATTAAATCTACTGTTCAGATCTACGGTTTTTTTTTTCACCCATACTGTTTCGGCAAATGTTCATCTGGCAACACTGCTCACATCGAAAGAATACAACTACCATTTTAATAAAATATCGACTAATCGCCTCCAAATACAATCGATGACTAAGAGATACAAACAGCAAACCATACTCCGAGACCGACCTACCTGTCGTCGAGATCTGTCTTTCGGAAGTGTCGCGCCGTGCGAAATGTGTTTCATATAATTGCATGTGTTCTAGACGTGAAGAGACAGTTCTCGGTCGCATCTGTTGTCGTTTGTCGCGCCTACCGAAATGGTACCTTTAAATCAAGAAATTTTATTCTCAATTTAAGCACGGTACTTTTTAATTTAAGAAACCCGCATACTTATTATGAGCATAAGCATTCCTAAAAACTTCTTAAGGCGAAAGACGGTTATTCGTACTTATAATAAGATATTTCTTTCTAAATTTAATCTCGATGCTTCTTAATCGAAGAACATCTCTTGCTTAATTTAAGTATGGCAATTCTTTAAAAAAATTCTAAACAGAAGGAGCATAGAACCAGAAGTTCCATTCTTAGTTTAAGTACGTTATTTCTAAATTTAAGAACATTTAAGATACCCTACTTAATTTGACATGTTAGGATTGTTCATTTAAACACCTTTCCGATTTAATGGGGCATGTTCAAAAATTTTGAATTTTTTTTTATGAATAATACAGATCAAAATAAAGCTACATTTAATTTTTTTTATCTCTTAATTTGAGTTATTAATTTTTTTAAATTTATGACGTCACTGGGAATAGACCAATAGGAACTAGCCACACAACGTTGCCAGATAGACGGTATACGAAGAGTAATATACGTTCGTTTGTGTGCACCATCTTACTTTTAAACTTCTAAAATATCGTTAAACTAATATCTTTTAAATAAAAAATATCAAATATTTTTAAAAGTATTATTTAACTTTAAACTTTCACCATATTTATAGTTTCATTGTTTTAAAAAATTACAACTAATAAACAAAAAAATGGCAATGCGACAACACTGCATGTGTCATCTGTCAATCAAGAATTTGTGTGTTGTGTCAATCGATAATAATTTAATTTTGATGTCTTTATAAATATTATGAGTACAAAAAAATGTTTCCTCCCAAGATGTGACAATGATTTATATTTTACATTCATTATTAAAAATATTTATTAGTGTTGCTAGAAATATGAAAAGAAGAACATTATTATTACACAAAAAGGCTTCAAGCAACAGCTAAATTATTTTGAGGTTTGTATCCATATTCTATTAAAATAAAAATGTTTTATTGTAATTTATTAGACTTCAGTTATCTACCATTGTAGTAACGATGTTACCCAACAGTGTTTTTAAAAAAAGTGTAGCTTACATAAACATTTTTCATTTCTGTGTGAATTAGTGGTATTGTTAACTTAAAAGAACTCATTTTGTAAGACTAAATACCTAATAATTTAATACCCTGTTTAATTGTTTTTTTTTTATTAATTTATCACATTTCAGAGATTATAATAATTGTATATAAACAAAAATGTAAAATCTGTGAAAATTTTATTTATTAACGTGTTATTAAAAAATAAAAAGTACCTAAATAAGATAAACGAAGTAAAAACACTTTGTTTACAAATAATAAAAAATATATATACAAGCCCTAACCGTAATGGAGATGCACAAATTAAAATTTCGTCTAAAGATTCATTATCAAATTCAACTTGTTATTGATCTCAAATGTGGGAGAACAATGCATTATACTTTATGTTCATGTGTAATTATTCCGTATACTGTGCAAATATCTCCTTTTCTCAAGTTTTTCATGGAAACTCGCATTATCTCCATATACTTTTTTAGTATTTCCATGAGTAGATTTTTATGGATTCCTATTTATTCAATTTTTATTACTTTTCTATGTTCCAAATTATTTCATAAAATATAAACATATTTGTGTTTTTATTATTTCAATTTAGCAATATTATCGTAGATTTATTCATGTAAATACTAGAGATGTGTATAATAGTTGTAATAGAAAGAGTTTGTATATTTATATAGGCAACGTCGCAATAACGAGTTAAAGTCGCATAAAATTTTGATCTCAGAAATTAAATCAAAAGTGCATAATTCGAAAATTTTAATCAGTTAAAAGTGTACCGTTAGTTAACAGACTATCAAATACATGCATGTAAGTGTTTGCACCGTTTTTATACAACGTATATCAAAGAAAAGGCAATCTTTAATTCACAAAACCTGTACAACAAAAAACTAAGTTTACATTCTTATCGGCATAAATAAATCCAGCGAATAGGTTAAAACATATATCTATAGTTAAAACAGATCTTTTCGTTAAAGAAAATTTACCACGTTGCCATATCTTGCACCTTATAATAAAAGTAGAAGAATAAAATCAAGCAGCAAATAAATGGGGACATTGAACATTGAAGATATTAAAAAATTACTGGATGATCAAACTGACCATTTAAGAGAAAATTTTAAGAAAGAGATCGGAACTTTGAGAACCGATGTAAAAAAAAGAGATGAAAAGATTTCTTTCCTAGAAAAGAGAAGTCTGTTCCTAGAACGAAAAATTCGAAAAAACAACATCATTATCTTTGGCCTAAATATAAATGAAAATAATATAGTTAGAGAAACCATCGAAAAACTAAATCAATTGTTAGAACTAAATTTTTCACTAAGTGATATTAACAATATTTATCAATTAGGCAAACATGAAAAGGCCCCGATTATAGTAGAATTTATTTCCTATCTAAAAAAAATTGAAATATTTCAAAATGTAGAAAAACTAAAATCATTAAAGGGGGCAAACATATCACTCTCAAATGATTTATGCGAAATAGATAGAAAAAATCATAAAATATTAAGAAAGCACTACAAAATAGCTAAAGAGAAAAATCTTCAAACAAAAATACAAGGATTTCGAATAGAAATAGAAAACAAGTGGTACACAGTTGATGAATTGGAAGAATCATATAGTGAAAGTGATGTTTCAAATGAAGGAACTGATGATGAGGAGATGGAGGAAGAAGATGAGAGCGATATAGAAAAACTCAGGAAAAATGGAATGAGACAAATAGCACCTAACAGTGACCAACAGCCTTCTATCAGTAGGAAAAATAAAATCGGTGATAATCTGCAGACTGCACAAAAAAGAAAGAAAACTATAGATTCAAGTCCGCCAATACGATCACTTAGGAGGAAGAAAAAGAAATGAAATTCAGTTCGGAAAAATTAAAACCTATATTCAGTATATTTAAAATTATTTAAAATTTATTTAATCAATAACCCATTTTTTTCTTTCCGTTTAAGTTTTGAGTTAAAACAAAAATATATGTATATTGTATATATATATATATATATATATATATATATATATATATATATATATATATATATATATATATATATATATATATATATATATATATATATATATATATATATATATATGGTTATTTGTTTTTTTTTCTTTTAGATTGTAAGTATGGATGAATATATACGAAATTTTGAGGTTGAAAAGATAGAAACAAAAATAGCACATAGCACAAATTGTTGCAAAAAACTAATTGTAAAAAATAATAACTTAGACTTAAAGTTGTACTGTAGTAATATTAGGGGATTAGCGAAACATCTAGATGAATTTAAAGCATTAATTGGGGATTTAAATTTGGACTTTCACATTATGATATTAACTGAAACTAGGCAAATTAGTGATATGGAACTTCTTACTATTAAAGGGTATAATTCGATCTATAGTGAAGGTGACTTAAATAAATGCGACGGAGTAGTAGTTTACATAGACAATAAACTAAAATATAAAATAGTTAAAATAGGTTTATCTAACTGCGTACAAGTAAAGTTGTGCTATTTTAACTTAACCATTATTATCACAGCCATCTACCGGTCTCCATCAACTTGCCCAAAAGTCTTTTGCGACTCCCTCAATGAATATTTTTCTAATAATAATTCTGAAAATGACATCCATATTATGGCAGGAGATATAAACATTGATTTGTTAGATGAAAATAATGAAATATGCGAAACATACTTGAATATATTAAATGAAAAGGGCTTTGTATCAACAATAAACATGAGAACACGAATACAAAATAACACAAAAACATGTCTAGACCACATATTTATTAAAAGTAAAAAAAGCGTTTGATACGGTTGATCACAGACAGTTACTGGAAACAATTGAAAACATAGGTATTAGAGGTATGCCATATAAATTATTAAGCGATTACCTAAGTGATAGGCAACAATCTGTAAAAATTAATAACACGGTAAGTATAAAGAAAACGTTACAATATGGTGTACCTCAGGGAACCGTCATGGGACCTATATTGTTTAATATATATATCAACCAATTATTTGATTTGGAAGTTGATGGCGAAGTAGTCAGTTTTGCTGATGACACTGTAGTAATTTTTAGTGCAGAAACATGGAACCAATTAAAATCAAAAGTAGAAAAGGAAATGTGTAAAATAATCCACTTTTTCAAAACTAAATTACTAACTGTGAATTACAGCAAAACTTACTATGTACCTTTTACTTCCTTAAATAGTAACTTACCTGAGTTTACCGAACTAGTCATTAAAAATAACTGTTCATGTGCGGATATTACCATAGCAGGGCAAACACATGTTAAGTATTTGGGCATATACTTGGATTCACATCTCAGGTGGGATATACATATAAATTTTATAATAAAAAAATTAAGATCAATGTTATGGAGATTCAGGTATTTAAAACAAATACTAAATATAGAGCAACTATGTATAATTTACCATGCACTTATAGAGCCTCGTCTTAACTATGGTATTATAGCCTGGGGAGGCGTGACAAATAACTATCTAAACAAATTAGAAATTACCCAAAAATGGTTAATAAAAATAATATACGGAAAACATTTTAGATACCCTTCTGACCAGTTATTTAATGATTGTAAGTTTTTTGATATTAGGCAACTTTTTTGTTTATCCGTTCTTACAAGGCAACACATTTATAAAAACGACTTGAATAGTCTAGAACACCACTATGATACAAGGAATAAAGAAAATATTTCAATAATACCCAAAGTCTCTAAAACGGGAACTCAAAGAAGCTATTTCTATTTAGGACCTAGGTTATACAATATAATTCCACCACCCTTTAAACAATTAAATTCTATAAAGATGTTTAAAAAAAAAGTTAAAAATTGGATATTCTCAAAAAATAGGAATGAGATACATAGTTGGATAGACCTAAAAAATCTATAGTACGATAAATCCGAGAACTGAAATTAAATAAATAATTAATTAAATAATGAAAAGGTCTAAACTGAATAACTAAATGCATACACAAATAATAATTAAAGCTTACCTTAATAGAGTTATCATCTGGATAACCTCTTTTAGTTGTTACTTTGTTTCTTCTTTTTAACCTCAAAATTTGTAAAACTTGTAAATGTGTACATAGCAATGTAAGGAGAGATTGTTTAAGTTAATTTTTGAAAATATAAAAACTATTTTTAAATAATAAATTTGGCATTGTGGGTTGCAGCTATTTTAACAAGCTGCGCTTTTAAATATCTGTCACCTCAATTGTACAAATAGCGTTGCCACGAGTTAAGAGTTCATTTTAAATGTAGGTATACCTATTGTTTTACTGTGCACAAGTGTTTAACACTTAGCATATTTTTTTCTTTATTCATAACAAATATTATATTGTATTTAATTTAATTGCATTATTTATGAATAAACATTATTATTATTATTATTATTATTATTATTATTATTATTATTATTATTATTATTATTATTATTATTATTATTATTATTATTATTATTATTATTATTATTATTATTATTATTATTATTATTATTATTATTATTATTATTATTATTATTATTATTATTATTATTATTATTATTATTATTATTATTATTATTATTATTATTATTATTATTATTATTATTATTATTATTATTATTATTATTATTATTATTATTATTATTATTATTATTATTATTATTATTATTATTATTATTATTATTATTATTATTATTATTATTATTATTATTATTATTATTATTATTATTATTATTATTATTATTATTATTATTATTATTATTATTATTATTATTATTATTATTATTATTATTATTATTATTATTATTATTATTATTATTATTATTATTATTATTATTATTATTATTATTATTATTATTATTATTATTATTATTATTATTATTATTATTATTATTATTATTATTATTATTATTATTATTATTATTATTATTATTATTATTATTATTATTATTATTATTATTATTATTATTATTATTATTATTATTATTATTATTATTATTATTATTATTATTATTATTATTATTATTATTATTATTATTATTATTATTATTATTATTATTATTATTATTATTATTATTATTATTATTATTATTATTATTATTATTATTATTATTATTATTATTATTATTATTATTATTATTATTATTATTATTATTATTATTATTATTATTATTATTATTATTATTATTATTATTATTATTATTATTATTATTATTACAAAAAATAGTAATTTATTTACAAAAATTTACTTAAATTACAATTATTTGCAATGACATGTAGCAAGTAAGTAATCCTCGACCAAATAAAAATAGTAGTACAGTAAATACATGTGCACTACCCTTCTGAATAGTTTTAGATGTTATTCAGTTTTAATTTTTGAGGTAGGCAAATTGTATAAACAAATTTGCTAATTCTCAAGTAATACATAATTATACTTTTACTTCTAATTATAGAAATAATACCAACAGCACAGCTTTAAATGTCACTATCTTACTCAAATTTGAGATTGACCCTTGTTGCTTCAAGGTACAGTTATATCGTCCCAATGTCTAGTGTTATATTTGGGGATATCGGTGTACGCTAATATATTATAAGAAAAATATATTTTTCTTATACAGATAAATGAGGTAAAGGGTAAAGGTAAAATGTTTATTTTTGAAAAACTGTTACTGTTTGACAACCCTAATGACCTGAGATAAATATGTTTTTACCATAAGGTGTATTGCTGCATATAAACTGCAACTACTATTAAAACAAATTATAAATAAAGTGTTACATACCTTTCTGTCTTAACATGCTTAACTTTGGCACTTATAAACTAAGTATTGTTAAAAAAATGAAGTAATCATATCTTGGTTTACAATGGATAGAACACTTGAATCAGGTTTTATAAATCCAGCTAACAAACTCATATTAATAATAAAATTAAACTAATTAGCAAATACAAATGAAATAATTTGAAAATTGAGAAAAAACAACAACAATGAATGTTAAGTTAGGTGGTTTAGGTGGTGTCAATTTTAGGTGTTATGCCTCTCCAAGTCACCCAAGAGTAACCTGTAAATACGCCATTTAAATTTATAGTCCGAAAATAAAATTCCGTGTTCGAACAAGGAATTCCGTGTTTGAACAGAGAATTCAGTCTTTAAATATGGAATTTCGTGTTTGAATACAGAGTTTTAAAAATTAAAAAAATTAAAAAGTGTGGCCCTTCTACGCTGCTGTAAATTGCAATAAATAAAGGACAAAGTAACTAATTATTCTGAGGACAAATAAGAACTTTTGCGAAACGTCAGACCATTATTTGCAAGTGAAGTATATTGTAATAGTAATAAAGTTGATGAAATAGGTATACAATATTACATAGATAAAAAGAAACACAAAATATAATAATTAAAACAAGAGATTGCAAGAACATTTAAGTGATATATTAGTTTGACAGATATTTTGGTATTTTGGTATTTTGGTATTTTGGTATTTTGGTATTTTGGTATTTTGGTATTTTGGTATTTTGGTATTTTGGTATTTTGGTATTTTGGTATTTTGGTATTTTGGTATTTTGGTATTTTGGTATTTTGGTATTTTGGTATTTTGGTATTTTGGTATTTTGGTATTTTGGTATTTTGGTATTTTGGTATTTTGGTATTTTGGTATTTTGGTATTTTGGTATTTTGGTATTTTGGTATTTTGATAATTTGGTATTTTGTTTTTGTACATTTATTGGGTAATATAAAAGGTCTGGCTTTAAAAGGTTAATAAACAGTTTTTTTTAGTTGATGGATAAAAGTCTGCAGAGAAAGTATTGTTTTATATCTACATTTAAAATCGTTATTAATTTTTATCTTAAAAACAGTTTTTTTATTGTTTATTAAAACTGTATCTTCTGCAAAACTCTAGTACGGAAAGGCTATATTTTTACATCATAATGTTCCAAATAACTCAAAATCGATATTTTTGTGCTAATATTGTATTAGCACGGATATATTATGATCTATAATGAAAAGTGGATTAGAAATAAAATAGATTAGTCATATCATTTGTCATTATGCTGTTTACTTTTCATCCCTATTTGCAAAATTAATAGCAATTTCACGATAACATTTCTACATATAATACGATAAGGAAAAGAGCAAAACGAATCACACACCACACCACAGCTAATCCACCGCATATGTCCTTTGATCTGATTCGATGATAATCTCCGTTGAGCATTCGGATTATTTGCTTGTAGCTGAAGCTGCTGCTGCATCACTTGATTTGTTGCTTTTGATGTGCCCCAATGGGAATACGGCGCTCCGCTGGGGTGAGATTCACTTGCAACTTACTATAAAATGATCAGATTTTATCGGCCCACATTATGGTTGAGATAGTAAACAAAATTTTATATGATGAAATATTTGATATTATTTAAAAACAGGCCCGTATTGAGGGTGACAGGGCGGCCTAAGATTTATAAAAAACAATTTTAATGCCATTATTATCACTCACAATGTATTCGAACAATATAATGCTAATTTATTACGAGGGATGTGGCAAACTTATACATATCAGTTGTAGGTATTCCATGTAAAGATTCCCGTAGGTTGCCTTTTTTGTTAGATAAAAGTGACGGTGCTGAAATATATTAAATAGTTGACGCTCTCAGTATAAGTTTAAAATAAGCAGTGATCTAACAATCATTGTGTTGTGAACATTTTCAATGATTTTGAGTAAAGATTCTATTTTATTTTCGAATAAATAAAAATGGAACGTCCAAAGTATAGATGATTTACAAACTGCGTTTGGTGATAAATCACCATCAGGGAAAACCGTTTTTCGGTGGTATTAAGAATTTAAATTTGGCCATAGTAGCCTTAATGATGAATTTCGCGAAAAACTGCAGAAAAAATGTATACTGTGCGAGATATATAATATATGTTTCTTTATTCTTAATTATTGTTTTAGCAGATATTCATTGTATTCCATAAGTACTTGGTGTCCAAATAAGAAATGAAGCCGGTTGTTGTTGTTGTTGTTGTTGTTATTATTGTTGTTGTTGTTGTTGTTATTGTTGTTGTTGTTGTTGTTGTTGTTGTTGTTGTTGTTGTTGTTGTTGTTGTTGGCTGTAGGATACGTATCTCAGAAACTATGCCCCGTAGAATTTGAAAATAATTTCCAGTGAATACTAAGGAAAGGCGTTTGTCAAAACAAAATATTACAATAAATTATCCTGTAAATAAGGCGGCGTCCTTTCTTATTTGGACTTCCAATACCTATTCTATAGACTGACTATATTAAATTGTTTAATATATTTTTCTTTCGTGAAAGCAGTACCTGCAGGTGTTGTTATAAAGGGTGCCCCAGTGAAAAGTAGCCCGTTTCCAGAGCTTATAACTTTTTACGGTGAATTTAAAAAAGATTTTTAAAAAACACCCTGCATAGGTAATACATAATTTCTGGTATCACCTTTCTAATAAAAAAGAATCATAGAAATTGAACAACCACGTGGTAAAGAATTATCGCTGAAAATACATAAAAATTTAGAATTTGATGATTTTCTCATAGACCCCATTATTAGATCCCCCGAGGTATCCCTTTTCTAACAAAAAAAGAATCATTAAAATCGGACATCGTTGCAAATAATTATCGCTGCTTTAAAGTTACCTATAAATCTACAAATACATTACTGTACCTAAATAAGTTTTGAATTAATTTTTCTGCGCCTATGAGGTCTATAACAACATTCATATTCATAAACATAACTAAAAAATCAACCTAACTTTGAAACGAAAGATTAATATGTAAATAGTCCGTTTTTTACAAACAAAACGCTGTTAAACCATGTTGATAATAGGTATGTCCTATTTAATCACAAAAATAATCAAATAAACTTAGAAAAAATAATAGCTGCAACCAACCAAATACAAATCACTTTTATGCATGAAGCAAATTTACAACTCTCTATATAAATATTGTTAAACGTAAATGCGCTGTTGCCAGACATAAAATTTCTTTCTATGATTTAACGACAAACAGTATTGCAAGCTAATGTATTTACATTACTACTGTTAAAAACACCGTAAACTTGGCATCAATGTTCAATCAGATTATTGTATTTCTGTCACGGACGCCAACGTTGAGGCTTCAGAAATTTTGTAAATAATCCTATCTGACTTGGTTATATATCTATGGTTAGCACGCGTATTTTGAGGTGATTGTGAATATTGTTAGATATTTACAAATGGCAGATACAAAGTTTTCAAATGATGGATAATAATCAGTTGAATAATTTAGTTGAAGAAAATGTCACTAAATGATCTTTAATCAAAATTATACAAAAACGGTAAAGTACGTGATAACATTTGGAGGACAATATCAACAGAAATGATGGTTTTTTGAATATACAACGTGTCCCATTATTGTAAAATTGCTCAATATTTCAATATGTGTTATGGACACGCGAACAAGTTTCAGATAAAAGTTATATGAATCCGAAAAACAGATTTTTGAATATATAGGATATTACGCTTTTGCCTGTCAAATAAAAATGTATATTTTTTAAATGTAATATCCTGTATTTTATTTTAATTTTAAATTGCTCTGGCAACACTGCTTTCGATCCTAAATTTTCTTCGATTAAAGTAAAATGAATATTTATTAACATAGAATAAAATTCATTTGTACTTCTAATTTTATATACTGACCTAATTGGTAGCTTTTTTATATAAAAAATACAAGTTGTCATCATAATCTTCTTCTTGAAATTATATTTTTATTATGCGCCTTGCAATTATTTTTTGACAACTCCCTTATTTTAAAGAGCACTCTTCGAACTAAATGATTACACTTGCGATACTGCCGTTGCTCTTATATGATCGTCTGCGGTCGCTTGTCACCTGCAGTCGGCTTGCCAAAAGTGTGAAGAGTAACGTAAGTACATCGGTCTCCTGTCGCTGTCGCTTGCATCGGTCTTCTATCTTGGTCCCACGTTTCCAAATAGTACCCTAAAGGTTCACATTAGGAATTGCGAGACCGATGCAAGCGATCGCGACAGGCAACAAATACTGCTACGCGACCTGTGTTGAAAGTGCTGTAGCGGTCTCTTGCCTCGGTTATTAGCTCCCAAAAATGTGCGCGGCCGCTTGCCTCGGTCTTCTCATATGCCTTGTTAGACGACAGTGTCTGGTAAGAAGACGATTTATCGGTTTTGATACAGTAAGTATTTCATGAACTTGGTCGATGGTTCCTTAATGAACTATTTAGCTTCGTTTAATCCTGGATACTTGTTCCACCATTCTTTTTGCAGCTATTGTTTGTGCCTTGTACAATGTCTTAGAAATCTTCAGAGGAGTTCGAAGTCTGTCATGGCCTTATCTAAGCCTTCTTGAGCTAGTTCGTCGGCCTTTTCATTGCTGTGATATCTTGCTTGGTCTGGTACTCAGGCTAAGGTCACTTTGTTTCAACTACTTAGCTCTGTCATGTCTTCTAGGCAGTCTTTCAATCTTTTACCAATCGTAATTTGATTTCTGGTGAGAAAATTGTATTTAGAGCTATCAAGGTAGATGGCAATAGTTTTGCCTGATACTTGTTGATTTATTATTTTTCTTGCACATTGTTTGTTGTATGTCAATAGTTTGGCCTGGAACACTATTGCGGTTCTCCTAGACTCCTACGTTGACTTAATATTAATTATTTTATACATCTAAATTAATTAAAGTGATTAATTATAGAAAATTATATTTGTTAAATTTTTATGTTGGGTTTTAAAAAGAAGTTCCAATTTGTTTTATTTATCAGGAAATCTTGAGTCTGCAATATAGTAGTACCTTTTTTAGGAAAAGTTATTCATTAACTTTGGATAGTTTTTATTGAATGGGTTATTATTCTTCTTTATTTATTTTGAACCATAAAATTTTACTTATTACTTATTTACTTTGGATTTGTTATTCATCGAAATTTTCTAATTTTCCAACTTTCTTTTTCCAATCAAATATTTTGGGGATTGTCTCTTTAAGATTATTGATTTCTCTCTTTCGTTTCTTTTTCGTCTCCCTAGAGATCCTTATTCTGTTTAAAATTTATAGCAATTCATTTTACGTCACTGTTATGGTGATTTTCAATATTTTTTATTTGTTATCTTGCCACTTTGACTTAGTTTCATTTGTTTTTTAATTTACTTCAATAAAATTTTTTATTATTAATTATTACTTATACCTAGTTATAATATGTAATACGAATTCACTTTTCGTTCAAATAAATTTAATTTTCTTGGTACAGGATGTTCTTATTTAATTTTAAATGTTACTTTACTTCATATTATAATAGTTTAAATTTTTATTTTAGATATCAATACAAATAAATACTTATCAATATTTCATAGTCTAAATAATTATAATACTAAAACCATTCAAACTAATTTCTAACATGTATATAGGAAAACCTATTATCTCCATACGAAGTACATTTTCTTCGTTTTATATTCACCTCATACTTCCCCTTTAACAGCAACGTTTATTTATTTTATTTTAAAGGAATACGAACTTCTTTTACGTTGGAAATTTCATGTAAAAATCTTTCCGGCTTTCAACACTTCAACCCTAGTCACCCTTAGTCAATTATACTCCTGAAAAAGAAACCCTTCGGTTTATGGGATGCAAGAGGACGGATCAAGTACCTGTGAAACTGCCGTTTCGACATAAGAATACAAATAAGGGGGCATTTAAGTTTTTGGGAATTCTTTTACTTCTTTAATTCTTGCATGTACCTATATCTGCACTACCAATATAAAGACACGAATTTCGGACACATTGTATTTCTATTTAAATAAATAGGTAATAAAAAATGTACTTTGAATTTTATTACATTATTCGAGAATATTTTAAAATTATCAGGTTTTAGTGGTTTAAGAGTTTAAATAATTTTTTCCAGGCGTTCAGTTCGTCCTTTTCCATGAAGTCTTCGAAAACAAGCAATGTTGAGGCTTGGGCGAGCTAAAATAAAAAATATTGATTAAGAAAGGTAACACAAAATCCGTACCACAAAATAATATTTAATTGAACATTTTCTAAGCAACCGGTTTCGGCATAATAACCCATCATCAGGTGTGAAAAATGATAAATGATAAACAATTATTTACTTAAAAATAATTAAAAGAAAGAATAGTACTGACCTTTACAAAAGCAACTTATCACTACCACAACAGTATGGAAAAATATCCATGACAGCAATAATTATTCTAATTAAATGGTATTTATCCTATAAATTAAAAAAAAAACAATTGCTGTATTGAATGTTTTTTTTTTGAATACTGTTGTATCTTGTATTAATAAGTTGGTTTTGTAGTAAGCAAGAGCAATATAGATTGATACATATGCGAGAGTAGACAGATTGAGACTCGTTTACCTGACTGACTAAATAAGTCATTGCTTGTAAACGCGAAAACCAAAGCAGCGCTTGAAAGCAAACATCGATGACATTTATACTTCCTTTGATATTATTTTATTTCATTATTTTATTTTATATGATTTACTAATCCTTTTTTGCAGAGTGTCTAATACACCTCTATTTCAGCAAGGAAGAAATGAAAGGACTTAAACACCCTGGAAATGGAAAGTGAATTACTAAAAATGACTGTAGGTTTCCTTAGAATAAAATCAGATCTTTTAAGGAGAGCAACAAGCAATTTAAGGAAAGAAATAGTGCAATAATTGGAACTAGACAATTCGCGAAACTAAACACCTACAAAGTAAAATAGAATGACTAGAAGCCAAAGCTACCTAGGCTGCCAAATAGGACTACTCAAAGTTTTTATTCTGTAGAAAAAGAAACAGAAGAGGTTTTCAAGAAAGTAATCTAAAAACTCAGCGTAAGAAGATAAACATAAGGAAAAATATTAAAAAAAGTGGTAAACCGTAATGGCGAGACTAGCAATGCCAAAAGACATAGAGACAAAGTACACAAAATTCCGTCCATCCAGCTGGAGGCAAATATCTGGAACAAAGTCAAGTAGGCCAGAAGTGTTACTGTCATTAACTGCAATAAAGCTGTCATCAAAGTATTACCAGTGCACACTCTGGTGAACTAAATCGCAGACGAACATAAAGACGCAGTACTAAAGGTGCAGGCGATGAAGTCTACAAGAGACCACCCGAAACTCCCGCTGTTTCTTGAAGACACTAATCAAAAGGAGAAAGACCGATAGTGATTAAGGTAGAATCAATAAGACCAACAGGACCAACCCAATGTTGCAAATGTCAAAGCTTCCACAAAACTAAGTCCAAGTGTTGCATAAGTATCCAGTATACAAGACGCAATGGATACTACAGAGAGCCCAATCATGTCTCAGACAAAAAGAGGTCGAAGCTGCTGGTGCGAACTGCCAGGGTGATGACCCAGCGAACTGCAGAGGATGATCAATGGTACCAACACCTATCTGTATCTATAATGTGTGGAGAGTGGGTTACCCCACGGCACTTAGGCCTCATTAGGCCCATTGTGCATCCTCTTAAAAAGATAGGCACCTCCTAGCTCGTGAGCCAGCCTACAGATTTAATGTAGTTGACAACGTCGCCAAGAGGTGCTTCTCTTATATCGGCCGGTGTTAGGCGATACTCGCCGAACACAAATTTTCTAATAAATGAGAGCGTCAAGCAATCGTAAAGAATATGCTCGATGGTCTCATCTTCTTGTTCGCACTCTCTGCAGAGTACGGATTCTGACAGCCCCATGATATTGAGATGCTTTTGTACTTGGCAATGACCAGTCAGAATGCCTGTAACTAAGCGCAGATTCTGTTTAGTCATAGTCAAGTATTTGTTTGCTGCAGTGTTGTCAGGATAAATTAAGAGCTCCCTGGCAACTCTGCAGTTTCTTGTTTCATCCTATCTTTCCTAGAATTTCACAAGGGAATGTTATTTGATTAGGTCTGTCACTACCGATTTTATCAGGCCAATAGAAGGGCCAGGTCCAAAAAGTATTTGGTTGGCTACTTTCTTGGCTAGTGAATCAGCAAGACGGTTACCTTTCAATGTGGCGTGACCTTTAATCCATCTTAAAGTGGCCACGTTGTTGATGGATACTTCGGCCCAAAGCTTTGTGACATTCTAGTACTAACCCTGAATAAATTCGTGGTCTGTTCAGGGTGAGTAGTGCTTGCCTGTTATCTGTATAGATGAGCATGTTCCTTCCAGTGATATTGTTTCTGGTTATTTCTTTTGCTGCTATGAGAATCCCCGTTAGCTCTATTTGAACTAAACTGGCACTATTGCTCACATCCCATCTTATGTTTAGGTTTAAGTATCTGGAGTATATTCCACATCCTGAGCCTTAATTTGTTTTAGAACCGTCGGTGTAGATATGAATCGTACCTGCCACTTCTGGCTCTTCTATTTGTTCTATTATAATTTTATATGGCTTATGAAAGATATATTTTGGTTGGATAGAGTCCATGTTCGCTTGAAGCAGTGTGAGCATATCCAGTGCCTCCTGCCAAAAGTGACGTCTCACCTCACCAGATCCTACATCAGGTTCTATTCCGACCGTGCGGAGGCGTGTCATTGTCGTTAGAACAACCTCCTTGATATAAATATCAAGTGAGACAAAGAATGACTTCCATGGCTCTAGTCGGTGTTGTTTTCATGGCCCCTGTTATGTTGAGACATGCTGTTCTTTGAATTTGTTCTAGTTTACGGATAGTTATTAATTTTTGGGTTTTCGATACCTAGACAACTTCACCGTATGTTAGCATATGTCTTATGATAGCCGTGTAAGTCCATGCGACGACTCTGCGGGAGAAACCCCAGGTGCGCCTCACGGTTCGGCAGCATTATTCATAAGCAATGTATGCTCTTCTAACTCTGTTTTCTAAATGCAAGCTCCATGTTAACTTGCTGTCAAAGGTGAGACCTAGGTACTTCACCTCTGTTGCAAAGTTTAGTTTTGTGTTTAGGAGTTCTGGAGGTTTTAATTCCATTTTCAACCTTTTCTGTCTTTTTGGGATTGATAGACAGTGAATGGTCTTTGCACTACTGTTATATAATTTTTAGAGCTACTTGCATTCTTTCGCAGAGTATGTTTTCAAAATTCCCTGTTTGCAGAATGAGCAGGTCATCTGCATATGCTATTGTGTAGTGACTGTCATTATTGAGGCGGCTGATGAGGGTGTCGAGGACCATATTCCACAGGAGAGGTGATAGCACCCCTCCCTGTGGACATCCCCTCGCAGCCAAGCTTCTTATATTCACATCTTCTACACTTATGTTTACTGCTCGCTTTGAGAGCATGTTATGTATCCACCCACTAACCATTTGTGGAACATTCCTATTGGTTAATGAGTGTATTATCTTTGGGAAGGTGGTTTTATCAAAAGCACCTTCTATGTCTATAAAAACACCCAAAGCGAACTCCTTATTGTCCAGGGATCTTTCTATTCGGCTAGCAACTAGATGAAGGGCTGAATCAGTAGATCTGCCTGGGGTGTATGCATGTTGGTTTGGGTGTAGTGGTGTTGTTGTAATCACCGCATCCCTTATGTACCTTTCGCATAGCCTTTACAATATCTTCATGGAAAACGATGTCAGACTAATTGGTCGGTATGTTTTTGGGAGAGTGTAATCCATCCTTTCAGGTTTGGTTATAAATACCACTTTTACCTCTCTCCATTTTTTGGGGATATACCTTAGAGCCAACGAGGATCTGAATATACCCACCAGGTGCGGTGTGAGTTCTTCCAACATATATTACGCTAACTGTACTTGGTACTACTTATGCAGCGACAGCCTAACCAAATACAGCAAAAAGGACGAATAACCAGGAAGGACAAGAAGAGACTAATTAAGCAATACAGGTAAATATATATTCGTTGATACTGCAATACAAGCTATGTCACGAATAACTGATTTTACAGATTATAAAATGCTAATAAGTACTACATTAGAATTCATACACAGATAATATATTATAAATACATTTTTGGTATGAAATACTGACATTCTAAATACTGCAAAGCATAAAACACTATTGTTAAAACAATAGAATACATTTTTTAATTTTTTTTTACATATGTTAATATGTTTGCCCATTCACTCGAAAATGATTCGAAATCACCAGTTTTCAAATAAATTCAAACTATTCACTGAATTTTATAGGTGAAAAATATCAGACTATATGAATATGACAGAACGCTAGCAGTAAAAGGAGTACAGAGATCGGCCGAGTGTTATTACACCAGCTTTATTACGCCAAATATCCTCGTAAAAATAGTCTATTGCAGCGATAACTTCTTCATTTCTTTAAAGTAAAGTGAAGACAAAATTTGTGTTAAGGTAATAGGTGACAATTTCTCATTTTTTCACGTTTTTAATAGAAATTCAGTATTTGCGATTCAAATTCGTATTCCCGCGCTGTGTAAGTTGGAAAAACAAATTACAGCATAACTATACCAATAAATTTATTTGTAATCGAATTTTGAACCAATAGGTAAAGTTCAACTCAACACGTTCGTTGCCGAGCCTAAATTTCAGAATCTGATCTCACAGGCCAAAATAATCTTCACCGATGAAATACATTTTGAAAGCATTTCCCATATTTGGTTTTTTTTTGTGTCATCGGCATCAACTGCTAGGGTTATTAGCCTTTGGTTTTGTTTAACACTTTACAGTTTTTGATATTTTTTGTTTTTTGATTATTTTTTTGGTATATCATAAATGATACACTCGCCAAACAATAATAATTTTGTTGCTCCAAGCCGAGTGTATCATTCATAATACATTAGTACAATATGTGTTTTTGCTTTGTTTCAGATTGACGAGCCAGTATCCACTGCCCCAACCTGAAAATATGCTTGACAACATTGTATGGACCGATCCCACTGGAAACCAAAAGATATTTCAGTTTACTGGATCCAGTGGAATGGATCCCACCATTAGTGGGATTATGGCGTTAGCAGACCCGATAGACTACTTTCTTTTGTTCTTGATTCCTCAAGTTTTAGATACAATGGTGTACGAGACAAATCTCTATGCAATACAAATTTTAGAAAGAAGTGACGCTGATCCCAGTTCACGTTTGCACGATTGGACACCCACAGATCGTCAAGAAATGATCAAGTTCATCGGTCTACTAGGATGGATGGGTCTGGTGAAAGTGTCCAAATTAGCTGATTATTGGTGTCGAACCGAGTTATATTTATTCCCACTTCCAAGAAATACTATGTCGCGAAATAGATTTTAATTGCTGCTCAAGTTCTGGCACTTTGCCAATAATGATGATGCCCAACCACACAATCGTCTAAATAAAATAGAGAATATTCTTCAGTTATTCATAGACAGTTTCCAAAGCACATACACACTAAAAATATGTAATAATGAAAATATGATACCTTGGAGAGGGAGGTTAAGTTTCCGGCAATATATCGCCTCCAAAAGACATCGTTATGGGGTAAAAATTTACAAGTCATGCACAGATAAAGACTATACCTGGAACTTCTCAGTTTATGTTGGCAACGATAGAACAGAAGACACTAATGTATCAACTTCTCAGAACGTAGTGATGAAATTGATTCGAGATCTTCTGGATATTGGTAGAACATTGTACATTGACAACTTCTATACAAGTGCTGTCTCATAGCACACATTCTCCGCCAAAACAGAAAATATATCCCCCGAGACATAAAATCGGCGCGATTGCGAAAAGGTGAAATTATCGCTAAAGAGTCCAACGATGGAAGAATAAAAGGGGCGTGATGATGCTGACAACCACTCTTCTTGGCACAGATACCCATACTGTTACATCAAATACTGGAAGAGAAACTGTGAAACCTGTATGCGTTGTAGACTACGATGCCAGAAAATCGTCAGTTGATGTAAGTGACCAATTATTATCCTACAACACTTCTCTACGTAGGTCGATAAAATGGTATAGATAACTAATGATCGAAATTTTGTGAGGAAGAAAATGATAATGACGCAGTTTTGGGAGAGTGTTATAAATGTCTTCTCAATTCTGATCAAAGAGTTGAAATAGAAGCCAAGAGAAAAATCGATGTCCAGAATAAAAGAAGTCGGTGCAACGAATGCTATAAAAAAATTTGGGAAGCACGGTAAGATGGTAGATGGTAAAAAAGGCTGGCAGCACAGGTAAAAACCGTCTGCGATCAGTGCGACGGCAATCCATTTTTTGCAGAGAATGTTTCAACAGTTGCCACTAATTTTTAAATTTAGTATTTTGTATCTTTAGTTTTTATTTTTGCATTGATATAAGCACTTTCCTTTGCTTAAATAAACACATTACTTCAAGGTTATATGTATTTTATTTTATACCCACATATTGGTCCTCATAACACCCTCCCAGGCCAAAACTTTAAGTTGCTCTCTATGGTGCCAGGCCACAGAAACCCTTAGCTAATGTATTTCTTATGGGCGGTGTATTCAAATTAATACACCGCTGTTTTGAAGCAATAATGTTGTAAGCACTACCCGGTGTATCGTAAATGATACACACGGCAGCTAACGTGTTAAATATATTAATCCTGGTGTCAAGTTAGGATTTCCGTACAGTGGTTACCGTTGTTACCGTAGTTACTTTTGTCACTGAAATTATGATATTCGGAATTATATTTTTGAGTTCCAATTTAATAAAATAGTACCAAATTTTTTACAATTTTAATAACAACGGCAACATTGAGCCGACTTACACATGTTATGAAACGTACCTCCAGAGTGCGCATGGCTTAACTCGAATTGCCCAACAAGCAATACCTCATACATGATTAGTTCAATATGCAAAATAAGATATACCTACTCGGTCAGTCTATATGCTATTGACGATAGGCCTTAAGCCTTACATCCCATCAAATCATCCTGGTTTTCAGGGAATCCCAGAGGTTCGTGGTTTATATTCGGGAGTAAAATAATAAGATAAAAACAAGGTTAGTTCCGTTAGTTCTTCAGATAACTATTTTACCTATGAACCTTAATAATTAAGTTAAAGGACTTTAAAGTTGGAAATTAAAATTAGTTTTTATTCTTTTCTTTAACTTTTTCTTTGTTTGTTACAAGCAGGTAGCAAAACCCTGCGACCTCTTGGGAATATTATATCCCCCTTCTTTCCTCGTTTTCAGGTACTGTTTGAGTAGTACTCTGGTTAGTTTAACTAGGTTAGGTACCTACCAAGTTCTTCTGAGGGATTACGATTCTAGAATTGTAGTTCGTTCGTAAGTCAAATATTATTTTTGGAAATTCTATTCTCTATACTTATTTAATTTTAAATAAAAAATTATTACGTCTAGCTCAGTATTGTATTTATCGTTGTCTAATTCTCCAATTTCCTCGAATTTACTAATTGCATCTTCTAAGTGATTGAATATGACTTCGTCAATGTCGCTAACGAGTTTGTGTACGTTTTTTTTAAACTCTGGTCTCTCCACTAATATTAGCATCATGGGGTCTATTAGCATTTTTACCGAAGAAGTCTCAGGAAGGCCATCAATGATCCTGTAATTAAAAACAAAACAGTAAAAGAATAAATGAACAGATAAAGAAGGGAAAAGAAAAATCAAGGAGAAAATGTTAATGAATTAAAGATGAATGAAATAGGCGAAGGAGACTAAATCCAGGAAATGAAAATGAAGGATATGTAGAACATGATTTAAAGGAGATGAGATAAACGAGACAAGATAAAGGTGATCAAAGAAATAAATAAGATATACGAGATAAATGAGTTAACCTATTTAAAGGATAACGGATATAGGGAGGAAAAATGAGATAAGGGAAATAATATTAGGATTTAAACATAAAATATAAAGAGGAAGAAAAACCAAGGAAAACTTGAAAGAAACTAATAGGATTACTAGAAAGAAGAGGGCCTACCTGGAAAGAAGCGAAATAACTTTTGTTGAACAAGCTAGAAAAATTTAAAAGTCAAATATGTAGATAATAATTGGCATATATATTCTTGAGATTGAAACTACTTACAAAGGATATAGACGAGATAAGGAATAGATAGGGATAAATGAGATAAAGGATATAAGAAGATCAGGATATAAAATATAAAAAAAGAAGAAAAGCCAAGGAAAATAAATAAATGTCAAATACGTAGACAGTGATTAGCATATGTTCTTGAGATTGGAACTACTCAAAAAAAGATATTTTTATGTGTTTCCAAACAGATAAAGAGTGATCCACTAAAAATGTTTCTGTCCGTGAACTACGCAGCGCTCTGAATTGAAACCAAACTGACACTTATAAAGGAAAATAATTCTTTGCTCCGACATACGTGAATTATTTCAAGACCTACTTTAGAAACATTTTTTGATGTTCTCTAAGCATTAATGCACATAACAATATTTTTTCTTATTGTACTTTTATTTAAAATAACTTAATATATTTATACAGGGTGGGCCACCGGTGACGTCTCGATCTGTACAGCCAGAATTAAATGATTTTTTTTAAATCTATATTCACAGCGAGATGTATATCAAAAAAGGCAACAAATACAAAATAATTTAAATTATGCAGGGTTCTCCAGGAAAGTGATACATATAAAGGTTAGATTTTTTGAAATGAATCACCCTGTATTTAATTTTATTATTGAATTGCCCTTGCTTTTTTATTTTCACAATACCAAATAATATGGGATTATACAGGATATTTCACACGCTATAGCCAGTTATAATGATAATCGTATTGATTTTAATGCAAAAGAAATCAATCAAAATAATTTTGCTGTAAAAGTGTTTCGGTGTTAGTCAATATTTTATGCCGAAGTACGACTTTTTTCAATTGAAAACAAATCTGTACAAGATAAGCCAAAACTCAATTACATAATAATTTTTCATTTGACTTAAGTATTCTCTTTACCTAAAGTTAATAATTTTGGGAGATTTTTAAATCTAAATGACAAAAACGATAATTCACAAACTACTTTAATTTTAACTGGTCACTGGCTCAGACATTCGAAACTGCATCCCGAATCGGTCAGGTAGTATTTTTAACAACGAAACTGTATCCCGGATACAACGAAACTGCATCCGCGGTGCAAATTTTATTACTACTAAAATTCTACGAAAATTTAACCAGTGTTGTTAACTGTAATTTTTGAAAGTAGGTACTTACCTACAAGTAAAAGAAACATACATGAAAGGTACTTTATTGAACCCTTACCAGAAAAATATCAGAAATTGGGACATGCATACATCAGAACTATTGGAAGATATATTTTTATATACTGGTTATTTCAGTAATAATTAACATAGTAATAATACTTGTTTTGTGATGAGGTTAATTGGATAAAACTAACTTAAATTAACAAATGGACTTTTAATTAGCTTTAGTGCCAGGTATAAACGGATTATCTATGGGGTGGGTCTTTAAAAATGCCAAGGGAAAACCAGTATACTATCGCCAAATATTATTAATTTTAGTTCGTCTTTGTCTTTGTGTTGGTGTTCTTGTGCAGTTTTTAATAATGGAAGCAACATTTGATTAAGTGAGAGAGGCATGTCATTATTGGTAACTCATGGCTATACATTCAGTTTTCAAAAAATGTTGGCCAATAAAACAGTAAAATGATGGCAATGCAGTATGCGAACATGTAAGGGCATTTGTGAAAACCCAAGGATCTGACGATACAATAGTGCAATCAGTTTTGGATCACAATCATGAAAAGTTATCCCATGAAGTTTTTAACAGACATCTCGTGAGTAATTCAGTTAAGCGTAAAGCTGTGGAGGATATTTGTGAAAAACCCTTAAAACTCATTAGAAACGAAATTAAAAATTCTGCCGTCGAGACCTTAACCACAAAGGACATTGTTAAGATTGAGACAAAATATATACAATGCTAGAACTTCTCTCATTTTAACCAACCAGAAAGATAACTTCTTGCTTAAAAATGACAAAGAAAATAATATTGTCATATTTTTGTGTTTATCAAACCTTAAATTTATATCACCTGTTTCTTGTTGGTATGTTGATGGTACATTTGAATATTGTCCCCGTTTTTTTACTCAGTTGTTTACAATTCATGGTCTTAAAAATGATCATTACATTCCATTAGTATTTTTGTCTTCTTCCTAATAAAACATTCTAATCATACAATCTTATTTTTAAGTATATAATAGAGAAGTGTGTCAAACTTAACCACCCTGTTTCGCCAAAAATGATAATGATAATTAATTTTATCTATTTTTTATAGTGTTTTAACCTCTTACGATTTTGGGAAGTGGGTCAGGTTATTAAATAACTCGTATTACTTTAAAAAAGAATGTTTAGCGCCACTATATTTAAAACTTACTAAACTCGACTATCGATTAGTGATAAAAATATAGAAGATCACTAACCATTAAGATATTGTAATTAAATAAAGTTTTAGATAAGGTAGCAACAAATTATAATTAACAGAGAATTACTTATTCAAATTAAGATGATTTAGTCACAATTGACTTATCTGTGGTACAAGAGGTAGCATATAAGGAGTGACTCGTAGAGGCCTTCTTCGAAGGGACTCGTAACGATACTCTTCGGATAGTACAAATCTTCACAAACTTCTTCAGATGGAACTCGAACCAATCCTCTTAACACAACTTAAAATAAACCTGCTTAGATGCAGCTTGAACTAAACTTCTTAATAGAAATCACCATAAACACTATAGATATATCCTGAATCAATCTTCTGAACTATGACTCGAAATGAACTTCTTCGATACAGCTTGAACTGAACTTCTAAAACTTCTATACTTCTATATTTCTATACTTGTATACTTCTATAACTTCTATATATAGCCAGGCTTTTAAAATCAGACGGCCATTAAGAATATTAAAAGATAATTAGTACATCGAATATCCAAGATAATTAAAATTAAATCAACTTCTTCGTTGAAAGATATAAATCGAAAATGAATTACCCTCTTTTGACGCAAGGCATAAACGACAAATGACATTAGAGTAGAGATGTTTGCGTCAAAATAACGAAAACGGTTCCAACCGTTACAATGTTTGGGTCTAAATAACGAAAACGGTTCCAACCGTTACAAAATTACTATTCATAAAAGCATCTACAAGGCGTTCCCAGAAGCAAGTCTACGAGATTGTCGCTTTCATGGTACCGAAAAAACAGGAATTAGGCTTAGCTACAGAGTACCAATAAAAGGGGGAGAGTGAAACGGAAATATCAAAGTTTTTAACCTTTGCTTTTGGATTACCATTTCTTCATCCTGAAGATGTAGGCGACATTTTCGCAACTGATTTAACACAAATTAAGCCTATCAATGAAAAAGTTACGCAGTTTTGTGATTATCTCGTTGACAATTATATTGCAGAAGACTCATCTTTTTTACCATTTATATGGGCAAAGCATTCTTCTTCTTTGCAGAGAACCATCAAATGTTGTGGGTCTCTTCATTCGAAATATGCTTCCTTTTACGCCGCTCACCCTAATGTGAATGTTTTTATAAATGTGATAACTCACTGGCTAATAGACTGTCTGTTAATAGGAAATAGACTGTTATTAATTTGGTAGGTAATGTAACCAGCTATAATTTATTATCGACTAAATAAGTTTTTGACAATACCTAATACGACATTCAGTATAAAAAAATAAATATAAATAGCAACCAAAAACATCACAATAATACCTACTTTATTCTTAGTTTATTAAGTGTTATTTTGTTAGATTTTATTTAATTAGAAAAGTTTCTCTACCTATAAATGGCCACCAATATTATTTATGGAGGTCTAAAGGTGGTTTGCAAATGTTCAATTCACATTTTCAAAGCATTGAAATATTTTTCTAATTCACCACTTAAGATTATTAAAAACAGGCTAGACTTTTTAAAAAAGAAATATTACAACATTAATGAAATAAGTAATAACGAATTGTCAATAGTGTAGTTTCAAAGTTAACTCAAAAATACAATAAACTTAGAATAAAATAGGTATTATAATGTAGTGAGTCATTGGTTGGTTGCTATTGTTATTTTTTTTTCTGAATGTTATGTCGTATTAAAAATTGTCAAAAACTTATTTAGTCGATAATCAATTATAGCTAGTTAAATTCTAATTACTAAGTAACAGACAGCCTATTAATCAGTCACTAGTTAAAATTAAAATATTTTGAGAATTAACTTTTTTGTCATTTAACGTTAGGTATTGAAAATATTTAACAAATATAAGAATTCAATTAATGTACTTTTGAATGATGATATACAGGGTGGTCAATTTAAAAAATGTCAAAATTATGTATTTGAGTTTTGGCACATCCTGTACAGATTTGTTTTGAATTGAAAAAATTAGTGCATCGGCATAAAATATTCATTAATATACAGGTTATTAAAACCAATACGATTATAAAACTGGTTATAGCGTATAAATTACCCCGTATATACCCATACTATTTGGTATTGTTAAACTGGAAAAAGCGAATGTAATTCAAATATAAAAAAAAACATAATGTTTCCTGGAATCCTGGAGAACCCTGTACAATTAAAATTATTTTTTAATTGTTGCCTTGTTTGATATACATTTCGCTGTGAAAACAGGTTAAAAAAAATTAAATGGTTTTGGCTCTGCAGACCGAGGCATTACCGGTGGCCCACCCTAGATATTGGCATTAGACAAAAGTTTGAGACAGTCCAGTTGTACAAACCAAGTACAAACAGAAAAACATTTCCAAATTTATAAAAAAAAAATATATATGTATATAAAAATGTGTACAAAAAAATAAAATTTATTGAGATTATCCTTTTTATTATTTTAAATATTTGAAAGCTTACCTCAGGAATATGGTTTCTGCTATTTTTAGTTGATTGAGTTTTACCTTTTTCCATGATGATTTCAATGCTTTCAAGTCATGACTATAAAAATATAAAAAAATCCATTAAAATTCATAATTTTTTTAATTAAATTACATATTAATAATGTGAGAAATATTGATCTTCAAGTAAATAGTAAATTAAAATACTTTTTGCTTAAACGATGTTCCACACATATCCATAATTATTATCATAGAATCGCATCTGAAGGCAAGTATAGAAATTCTATATTATATAACTTTTACTTATATTCTTTAATTTTGTTAGTATCAAGTTTTTAACACCTTGCTCTAAATAGCGGCAAAATGTAGGTATTTAGGGTGAGATTACAGAAAATGGACCACGTCTGCAACTTTGTTGATCTGCCAATATGGCGGAACAGATGCAAGATACAAGTCAAGGATATTTGACTCTTTATAGGATTTTTCAATGCATCGTGTATCATCGGAATCATTCGAGAAAATGACGTAGTTGCCGGACCATCGTTTGAAGTACCTATTTCGAAATAAATGGAACACGATAAAAATCATTATTATGAGAATTCACGTAACAATACATAGATATATTTGCTTTCAACGACTACGTTACAATACAAGGAATTATGGGCGGTGATGGCACAATTATTTTCAGAAAATTTCTAATAGCACACATATTTAAAAACAATAAATCATCATATCTTTATTAAATTCAAATTATTTGAATACAAAAATTAATATACAAACAAAACTTAAACATAATTGACAATTTATATGTCGATGTCAAATGAAAGCATTTTGTAGTATGTTTTCAAAATGCAAGAAGATAGAGACATAAAACAAAAACGATGTGAAATTAGAGAAACATTATGATATTTTTGTTATAATGAGATGCACTTTACTTGAGACGTACAATAGACAGCGTTACTATCTTTAAATTTTCTAATGGAAAGTAAAGTCATGTAATACCTCATTAGAAAGATATTTTGATATTTACGTCCAAGCAAACAGTTTTAATTTTTTTTTGTTTTTACAAAAATTATATTCTTCATAATCCTCGTGTGCCGCAACAATCCTAAAAATGTTAGATAATGTTAGAAGATAATTTTTTAATAAGCTTTTTCTTGCCAAGAAGTTATGAAAAATTTACGAGTAATACGTCAAGTGGTTTTTAAATCACCTTTGATATTCTTAATTTATTTATTTTAGTAAATGCAGGAAGCGTTTCCATAGTAATAAACAATAATTGTTAATACGAGAGTTATCAAGAATGTAACTTATTCATGAAGGCCCAGAACATGTCTGTATAAGAACAAAGTACCAGCTACAAAAAATTGCCATTTGTGCAGTGTTAAATCCCTCTAACGGTAAAAAATTACTTAAATTTATAAAAGATGCTGACATTTACTCTGTACTAGCCTACATGTTAATTATCCATTGTATACTATGGTAAAAAAAAACAGCATTTATAAGGTATTATACCTCCGGTAATGATCCTTTGAGGTTAAAGCGGTAAATAAAAAAAAGAATTTAAACTACTTTATGAATTTATTTAATGTAATTTCTGTAAAAACATAAAAACCTAAATCTGTTTACATGAATGTAAAAATATAGAAAATATCTTTCAAATGAGGTATCACATGACCCTACTTTCATTTAAAAAATTTAAAGCTAGTAACCCCCTTTATCTTACGTGTCTCAAGTAAAGTGCATCTCGTTATAACAAAAATATAATATCTCTTGAGTTTTACCTCGTTTTTGTTTTGTCATTATCTTTTTTCATTTAGAAGTTAAAATAGAGGAAGGTACAATTTTTGTACTCACTGTATATATACATTCGTGTGTATTACCTTTTCTTTGACAGTTTTTCGAAAAAACGCTGTAAAAGTAACATCAGAAAAGCAGAATGGATTAAATATAAGAAATGATTGCATAAATTTTAAATAAATGAAATGATAAATATTGTTTCTTATAAATCACTATTTATAAAATCCTAATAACACAAGTATCATTTGTTACCATTTATTATATATAGAATAGGTGTGTTATAGTTAACTTTTTGACTATCTTGAAATCTAATATGTAAAATTTTAAGTTAAGATAAGCAATTGAAAATTTCAAATAAGCAAAGAGAAAATTGTTCGAGAGAGCCTGAGAGAGCTCGAGAGAAACGAGAAATTCTCGTCGAGAGATGACACTCTCTCGTCGAGAGATGACACTCTCTCGTCTCGCCTCGAATCTGTTTTCGAGAGAACATGTCTCTCTCGTCTCGTTCGAGACGAGACAAAACGAGACGAGAGACGAGAACCTCTCGTCTCGCGGCATCACTAGTTTCAGCATGTCTGAGTTTCGCATGGCGGCACTGTAGCCCCACGGGCTTATTGTACGACCATTTGGATATCCTACTCCTTCCATTCATGCAACTCATGCATTCTACCGATACATTTCCCCGTCTGAACGGGCCACGACACCGTACATAATGTACGGTGGCCACGAGCTTTGTGAGTTTGGTTTGGTCATCCATTCATTTGGCTTAAAGGACAGTTCTAAAACCTGATCCATATCTACTTGTAGAAATCCTTTATATATTTGATTACAATATAACAAAAAATCATCCGCTATTAGGTATTCCCAGAATAATAAAAAATCTGATGTGTCCAACACATGACTTTCCTATCTAGTTATTATAGGCATTTTCCGGTTATTTTGTACAACCTATTGCAGCACCTCTATAAATGTTTAGAGGATAAACTAAATATATACATTTTCCACATATATCTACCTCGAAACATTTTTCTATAGATATTCATTGAAAACAAAAATACTGAAAAATTTAAATTTAGTACTTTTTCTACAATTTTTCCATTACGGTCTATTTTAGAAAAATCATGTATAAACCAAAATTATGGAGATCGATATCGCAAACAACTTTTAGTTTAACAATTTTCATAAAAATCAGAATTTTGCACATTTTGTCAAATTTCTCGAGTACGGACCATTTTGACATAAAACAAAAATTACAAGTAACTTTTATTTGAACAATTTTCTTCTCCAAACATAAATAACAGATATATTCCATAAAATATAAAAACGGCCTCCCATAAAATACTCCCCCATCTAATCATTGGACGCTGGAATAAAGCTTAACTTTAAAATTTGGTGTTTTTCTGTGTATCGGTTCATGAGTTATGGTGGATACACACACACACACACACACACACACACACACACACACACACATACACACACACACACACACACACACACACACACACACACACACACACACACACACACACACACACACACACACACACACACACACACACACACACACACACACACACACACACACACACACACACACACACACACACACACACACACACACACACACACACACACACACACACACACACACACACACACACACACACACACACACACACACACACACACACACACACACACACACACACACACACACACACACACACACACACACACACACACACACACACACACACACACACACACACACACACACACACACACACACACACACACACACACACACACACACACACACACACACACACACACACACACACACACACACACACACACACACACACACACACACACACACACACACACACACACACACACACACACACACACACACACACACACACACACACACACACACACACACACACACACACACACACACACACACACACACACACACACACACACACACACACACACACACACACACACACACACACACACACACACACACACACACACACACACACACACACACACACACACACACACACACACACACACACACACACACACACACACACACACACACACACACACACACACACACACACACACACACACACACACACACACACACACACACACACACACACACACACACACACACACACACACACACACACACACACACACACACACACACACACACACACACACACACACACACACACACACACACACACACACACACACACACACACACACACACACACACACACACACACACACACACACACACACACACACACCATCGCGAAAATAGTCAAAACGGATTCAGGGGACCTCAAAACGTAAAAATGCGTCGAAAACTCGAGGTCGAAAAAAATCAAGATTCCTATACTTTCCTTATATCTGTATACATATAGGAAAGTAAAAATCATGGAAAATTCCCGACACATCTAAGGTTCAAATTATCCCATCAGGGATAGAGATAATTCATCTCTATATTTGACATAAGTCATATATTCTTTTGATTTAAAAAAGACAAAATAAAACTTTGTATGTGGAATTAGCAAAAATAAATACATAATTCTCAGTTCATATCGCTCACCTACTACTCCTCAATAATAGAAAAATATATGAAAGAGTATGTAGTTTTTAATATTCAGTTGGAAATAGCCAACCTCTTCACCAAACCAACCAAACCTATCTCAAAAACTAGAAACAAACACCTGAACCCGTTCCATTAGAAAGAGATATAGGTAGACATTTTTGGTTGATGCACAAAATATTTTTCTTTAGCAGAACCACGAAAAAGACCGAAAATTTCAAAAGAAAAATTTAAAAACGGGACTCACTTATTCAATTTACTATTTGCAGACACTAAATAAGTCAAAGTTGCAACGATCAAAATGCGTGACAAAATCATGATTGACTGTAATTTAGAAACTAAAGCGGGTTTTGCCAAACTGTTCTTATTATTATGAAGAGAATTTGAAATTTTATGTTTTAATTAAATCGATAAGAAATACAATAAGCCATCACAAGACTATATAAAAAATAAAATATTTAATTAAACACCATATATAAATATGACGTTTGTGGTCTCCAGGTGGGTAGGAATAATTTGTTTTTCATAAGTTATCAGTGTTGCAACATAAAATTTTAATGTTTTATTTATCACATTTCATTTGCTACGATTAAGTTTAAAAATTATATATTGTAATAATGTTTTTTCTTTTCATATGATATAATAAGAAACGATACACAAAAAAATGTTTCTAAAGTACGCCGAACGTATTAATTTTTCTTCTTTTATAAGTGTCAGCATTGGGATTCTCATCTTTCAATTCGGCACGTGTTGAGACGACTATCTTCGTTTCACAAACTTCGATTTATATGTAATGTCTCTCTCTACACCAAATTTTATGCTTAAGCTTTATTCCGGCCTGCGGTGAACTGATTAGATTTTGGACAGAGCCGGAACATCTAGGGGTACTTTATAAAGGACAATTTTTATATTTTAAAAAATATATCTGTTATTTATGTTTGGAGAAGAAAATTCTTCAAAAAAAGTTACTTCTTTAATTATTCTCTATAATTTTTATTCCATACAAAATTTTCCTAAAATGGTCCGTATTCGAGAAATTTGACAAAATGTAAAAAAATCAAATGTTCATAAAAATTAATTAAATAAAAGTTGTTTGTGATAATTTTCTATAATTTTGGTCCCATACATAATTTCTCTAAAATGGACCGTATTCGAGATATTTCAGAAAAAGTGTAAATTTCGAATTTTAAATAAACTTCAAAAACGGATAAAGAAAACACACTAAATTTTAAGCTTAAGGCCAAGTTCAATTTCGTTTGACATATAATCACGATTTTTTTTTAGGTTAGAAAATTGCATTATCGATTTTTTCATCCGAAGTAATACAAGACGTCACTTTAAATTTCTATCTCTTTATGTCAACAAATATGTAACACGATGAATTTATAAAACGTATGTCACTAATGAATATGTGGCGGCAACTGACGGCAACACTGTCAGCTACTCCATGGCTACTAGAGTACATACAGGTCCGGTATAAGCCATATATAAATGGAAAATAATAATTTAATGTTCTGATTGAGTTAAATAAAATATCAAAATTAAATGTTTATTTTTAAGTAAACGACATTTTTAAATGTATACGTCTCCAATCGAAAATAATATAGGCTAATACTCGTGTATACGAGTGTACTGGACAAGAGATAATAGACCTTTTCATCATGTGATAAGCGCAAGCGCAGCCACCATGTTGAAATAGCGGTAATTCAAAAGTTTCGTACTGTTTTGATCGACAATGGCTGGAAAGCAATATTATCTCTACAGAAAAATTAATCATTAGAAAAAATCGTTGATGGTGATTAACTTTTTCATAACTCTGTGGAAGCGCATAGTTGTGAGAAGTTGAAAAGGTGGTTGAAGTGTCTTAGACGTTTGATACAAACGAAAAAAGTGGACTGATTGATCAATACTTCTTAACTGTGTACAAAATTAATGAAAACAAATAATAATTATAACTCTACTCTAATTAATTATGCCAACCAACTATTAGTACTTGCAAAAACACTTTAATTAACATGAAAGTTATTCACGAGTATAATTAATAAAATATATTAGGTATTTAATATTTTGAGGATCCACATGACATTTTTAATCATATTACTGTGTATACCGAAGTAGAATTTAATATTAAAAAAATATACCAGATAATAATTTTCTTCTGTTGGACCACTTTCTCCATGAAAATGTAATTAACAAATATAAGGATATTCAGTAACATCATCAATCCATCGAAAACCGTTGTCACTTGGGTCTTCGACCACATTTTTTCGCACCAAATGCACATTTGCTTGATAAATTGATAATTTTTTACGATATTGCAGCCAAAGCTTTGGAATATTTATAAAATAATATGTATTGTATGTATTACCTTTGAATGATTTATACCGTGTGTCAATTTTACATACTCCATAACAACACCGTTTCGTGGTTCATTTCCGTACAGATAACATAATTATTATAATTGATTGCAAAAATATATTTTTCAATTAAGACACTAAAATTATTATTACTTTGCTTTTTCTTCCTTTTTTTGTAAATGAAAATACTTAAATTAATATTTATCGATTATAATTTTTTTCACGTGGGCATTTTAATATGCTTGTTTACAAAAACAGTACGAAAAAGATGGCTGATACTGTCGCATGCGCACGAAAAAAAATTATGATGAAAAGGTCTATTTTACCCTTTACTCCAGTTTTTTTGTAATGAAACCAGCGGTAAAATAGATATTTATGTGTTTTGGCCGAATTAGACATATGCGTTCGAGTCTAAGCTAGTTCTGGTTAAGTATAAGAGTAATAGGCAAGAAACGGGTGTTCAATCAAACTTGACATCGAGATAGATGTCACATAAGCAGGTGTACTGAAGATGAACTTTGCAGGACCAAGCATCAGATAGGTATAACACTTGATATACTGAAAAATATGCATACTACACTGAATAAACGAATGGAAGTGTCAGAAGGAGGCTAAAGGCAAAAAAATAGACGGAACAGAGCCGAATAGATAGATAAGTAATATTTTACCCAGGAGAGAGTCGATGAGTGTTATATAGTTAATTTATGAATGTATTTTTAATGTATAATTTCAGTTTATTTTCATTTTTGGTATAAAACTATGGCTGACATAAAACTCTTAAAAGTATATATATTTTCAATCTTTATTACTATACATTAATTAGTTTTCATTTATTTTCTCTGACCTAGGGAAAAGGTAGAAAACCCTGGTCATAATTGTTTACAATGTTGGTGTTCCTAATGATACAAAACATTACAGAGGAATGATACTTAGCCGATGAAATCTCATCGAGTTCACGCATGACGTATTGTGGTATGGAATATGGCTATCTCTGATGCATCTGCAGATTTAAATTTATTTTTGCGTACTGTTTTCTGTCAACTGATACCCCAAATTTATACAAGCCACGTCTTCGCACCACAATGTGACATAACATCAAATCTGCTTAATCTCGTACGATTTTTTTTTAGTATCAAGGATATTCTTGGTGTAGCTGATCATCATGTTTCAAGTCATTGAACCTAAAAAATAACAAATATCAATAAATAAAATTCGGAATTTATTCCAAAAATATAAACATATTTTCGCTTAATAAAATAAAAATAATTTTATTGCCCAACAAATTAATCCATTTACAGAACAAAATACATGAAATAAATGTTAAACATAATATTTCAACAGAAAATAATTTTAGCAAGAAAAAAAAAAAGAAAAAACAGAATCCTACATACATTAGCTACAAATTAGTACAACTAATGGTCGAAATAAATATACCAATCAGAACAAAATTAATTAAAATTTGAGCACATTAGAATTATAGGTGAATTTGTTCCCAAGTTCGTTCAAATACTTGCTGTATAAAATGTTTTATGATATCTAATGGCTGTTTGGGGAACATTAAAATTTATTTAATTTATCAAAAATAGTACATCAATAGTGTTATGTAATATTTTATAAAAAAATGTAACACTGGAAACTACCCTTCTATTTTTGAAAGAAGCAGAGATTCTTCAATACCTCGAATGGGATACAGCTCATCTATTTTAAAAGAAAGGTACTTGAGAGATCGCCGCTGAACATTTTCCAATGATCTTTTATGAATATTGTAAATAAGGTTCCAGATAAGAGATGCATATTCTAGCTTGGAACGAACTAAAGAAAAGTAAAGGATCTCCAAGCTTTAAGAGTTTGTAAAAGAATGAGTATTACGAATTAAGAACGCAGAAGCAACGGTATTTTTAATATAATCCGAAAAAGTAACTTTTTGGTGGAATAATATACCTTAATCTTCAATTTGTGCACAAGTCCGATAAATGTAGGCTGTTAAATAAATAATCAAACTCCACCTTGTTAATACTTCTAGTATAGGAACATACTTTACATTTAGACACATGACACATGAAGAGAATGATATTATGTATGACCAGTTTTCGAGTTGCGTAGATAAGTCTAATATCTGATAAATCTAAAGTTTTTGAAGGTCTTAATTTCTTTTGAAAAACAGGACAGACAAGAAAACTAGCTAGGCACCTAGTTTAATACAAGCACTTGTTGTGCCTTATTTAATTTTTTTTACTACCCTATAGGTTCTATATTGATCTTAAAAAAAGTGAGCCATCTCCCCTCGATTTACCCTATGGCCATATGAAAAAATCGCAAGACCTAGTTGGATATGGGTTTTCAGTGTCCCTGCTTATTATTCTGCCACCAAAAAATTCTCCAAAAGATTCAAGTATTTGTCGGGCCATATGTGCTGTTGCACCATCTTGTTGGAAATACCCATTATGTAATTCGTCCTAATCCAGTTGATTGATGAATTAGCCAAGTACCTATCTCATTGCGATATCGTGCAGCCAATCTTCTTCAACATATTCCAACTCAAACACCAACTTTTGGAATTTTATAAAATATTTTGGAAACTTGTGTTATTGCTACTTTCGTCTATTTGCCGACGTCATGGGCTATTGCTAAATGAATAGCATGCCTAACTTACGAATTATTTGCAATTAATATTTGAACATTGCATCATGCCATCGTCGAAAAGAAAAGCAAATTTTTACATGCGTTTAAGGCAATATAAGCAAGGGTAATGTGATTTTACAAGTATGATAATATTTTGGTTACTAAATGAGATCAAATATTGTTAACTAACAGTAAATAATTACTTTGCCGGAATATAAATGGCTGCAAATTTAGCTTTAGTTCTTAAATATTGAAATTACCAAATTGGTAGCCGTGCTACATTTTTGGCCATCCATTCAGTAATCTATCAATTTCGTTTTTGTCATTTTTGACAATGTTGTATCAATTTACAAAATCGGTTAATTTCTATTTATTAGGTACTTTATCTTACTACTTACCACCAAGTTTAAAAATGTTAGATTTATTAAATTTTTCACATGCTTACTAGC